GGCTATATGGCTATATGGTGTGATATGGAGCTCTAATGGCTAAAAGAAAAAATAACAGACAAGATCTGAGACCTCAGAGAACCAATTGACAGAATAGGTTATTTCCCAATAACCACAATTCTCTTATACCTTCATGATGCAATACAGTGTTAAAATAACAGAAAATAATAACCAGGCCAGTGGTTTCGATTAACATCATGATTTAAACATCTGAAATAAGTCTGACTGATTCATGGGCAGCTTTGGGAGTAGTTGAGCTTACTGAAGTTACTGTCAAGACTTCACTTTTGTAATAGGTGTGATATGCATCATTCTCCAGGTGATGTTTTTTATCCGTTCAGGGATGTGATCATGCTAACCTTTTACTTCAGACTTTGCTTTCAGAGCTTTCAGAATGTATTTCATTATAATAAGTAACAGTTGTTGGTTCCCTCGAGCCAGAGTAGTGAACAATGCCTCGAATACTGGAGAGTTTGAACACAATCACACATGAGCTAGGAGGATTAAAATGTCTTACCTCAATATGTTTCTGATAAGCATTTGTCCAGGAAGATTCCAAACTTTAAACCACTGTTAATGCCTCAAAACTCTTTATTGTTTATTGCTATTGTTATTATTACCATTATTTTCACACTGGAGCTTGTGTCTGAAAGTGAAATTTCTAATAATGGTTCACTCACCACCATGCAGTGGTCAGACGATGGAAGTCTTATACTGTACTTTCTACTGTTTTGGCCATATCTGTCTCTTTGTAGAATTGGAGATGTGAAATTCTTGAAATGCAAGTTTCTCAATATTGATGCTGCCTGCTTAACAATGACAGCACACATTCTAAATCATGGGATTTGGGTGTCTTGAAATGAGCATTTTACTTTAACGTCTTATTATTGAAAGTGGAATTTTGTCTTTTATCGCAGCTTGAGAAAACAACTCGATCGGACAATCCGAATGTGGGAGAAGAAGTTTGACATTCTAAAGCAAAGGTACTGCAAAATTAGGAGCTCAGATTAAAAAAAAGCATCTATGCTTACTGACATTTTATCCTTTATTCTGTCTTTAAATTTTGTGTACATTGCTTAAAGAACAGATAACAGGCTTCCAAAATCAAAGTTGTAATTATTAGGATGTTCCTTAAGGACGCTCCTGGTTAAAACCAACAACTGTGCTGACAGAAACTCCTCAGGTGAAGTACAGTAGATCTCAGAAGCGTTAGTTCAGCAGAATACAGTACCTTTTACCGATACTGGCCGTCCCCAGAAGTAATAATAGTCTCCTTCCGTCTTCACTTCTAGTGGGGCAGCGGCCTGATTATGAGGTCTGTTTCTTTGAAGGATTTGATCACTTTTAATCAGTGTATGTTCCATTGCTTTCCGGTAATGAACTCCACAAACGGAAAGTTTCCATGCCATAAAGGACGAGATGTTCTTGCGCCAGATGCTGCAAAGGCAGGCTGCCACGCTCCACCACGCCTCCGTTAGTTATACGGTAGGTCTTATAAAATCTACACCGCTACAGGATATGACTTTCTTGCAATAGGGAGATAGGCATTGTACCAACATAGTTATGTATGTAAAGTAAATTTTTGGTCCATTAAACTGAGGGAAGGGGGAAAGGCTGTGCCTTATTGCTGAACGTACGTTCAGTGTACATTAAATCCTGACACTTTTTCAGTGCATCAACACTCTGTTATATGAGAATTATAGATCTTATATTTCAACAGTTGCAATCAACACAGTCAAGTGACAGTTGCTCCTGTGCTGTTTATTACCATAAATACCCAAGCTCTCTATTTCTTGTGTCATGTTAATATTTGTATAAAATTCACTAAGGCACACGAAACACAAACAACCGCCATTGTAAGAAATTGACCTACCTCAGTGGAATTCTGAAACCTCCTGAGTCCCATGTATTTTATTTTTACCTTGTTTTATTATTTGTGCATTTTATTTTACAGAGACATTTTGTAGGCATTTTAAAGTATTTCTAAATACATTGAATTTGCCAAAGCATACAAAACACAAAACAACACGATATGTTGTCTGTTATTGTGGGAAAAGCCCAGTATTTCTGATTTTAGAGACAGAATTCCCCTTCAGCAGATTGTGCCTGTTAAATCTGTAGTCCATTAAAGAGAAGTCCTATAAAACTGAGGGTTTACTGTATTATCTACACCCAACAACGTACTCCATTAATAACAACTGAGTAAATAAAGTGCAGTTGTCCTGACTTTCCACCATACAGCAAAATATATATATTTTTTTTATTTTTGCTGTATGTGAATTTTGTTAAAACACAGCCCTGCAGTATTTATTTGTTATTTTAGTCCTCCACAGCTGTTAAAATGTGTCGAGCTTGTGTTTTGTCTTTTATCTTCTTTCTCTTGACTGTTTATGAGAAACACATGTAGAAATAAAAGAAAACAGAAATTAACAGGTGCAGCACCATTAAGCCCTCCATCCCCTTCCATGATTGTTGCTGCCTTATAAATATTCATAAGTTTTGGCTCATGTTGGTGTATTCTCACTTACCATTATTATATCAATGGAGAAGTCTGCCTGACATTTCTTTATTTAACCACTACAAGAGAAAAACAGCCCTGAAACCACCCTTGGAAGCAATAAAAGCAACAGGTTAAAGACTGCTTTGACATAAAGAAAGTATTTTTGTGTATGGTCTGTTCAAAATGTGTAGATACGGTTTGTTTACTATTTTGTTCAGTTCTCTATTCCACGAAGGAGAAAAAGCAGCCCAAATACCTTGTGTTTGTATCTTGCCCAAAGGCTCTATCGTTAAACAAATAGAAGCAGAATCTCAACTATTTGAAGGTACTATTTTTAGGGTACCTTCATAAAACCATAAATCTCTGTGTGTATTCTGACTGTCCAAAAGGAGTTTTTTAATTATTTTCTTAATTCAATGGAACTAAATTGAAGGGCTGGTCATACCTTGTACAGTACAAACTTTGTGTTCATTGACAAATGTTGTACACTTTTTGTGGTGTTTGTTGGAGAATCTTTGTACCGAACAAAATTGGTTTTGGTTGACTGGTGTTGTATAAAAAAGGTGTTGTTTTTTTTTTGCTGTAGTATCTGGGCTGTAGAATCCTATCTTGTGCCCCGTACCTCTGCTGTATGAAGGAGCAGTAAGTATTCCCCTGGAAAGGAAAGGCTGGATCACACTAACTAGAATAATTGTGTCTTCCTTACAGTTTGATATGCCTGCAGCGTTCCATGGAAAGGCCCCAGTAGGAGATGGACTTGGAATGCCAAGTTATTCTTCGGAAATGCCTCTGGTTGCTTATTTGCTTCTAACTTTAAATTAAAATGAATTCTTGATTATTATTTTTGGAAGTTTTTACATTTTTTTTTCCTGTTCACTAGCCTGATATTGGTTCTGGACCTTCCCTCCAAACTAAGGCAGCCATTGATGATGATGCTCTCAATGCAGCAGGATCAGATGTTTCCCCATCCAAAGGTTAGTTTATTACTTTCATTTTTAATACAAATAGAACTTCAAAATTAATTAAATTGCAGATAGGTACAAGTGAATTCATATAATGCCTGATGTTACTTGTGAAAACTATAGATTCCCATGAAATATACAATTCAGGCTTTAACTGCAGCAAGATTTTAGTGTGTTAAAAGTTGTACTGCTGGTACTACAATTATCATGACTAACTTAAAATAATAATAATGTCTTTATATACAGTATAAAGTGCTTTTACAGAGACGGCAGCCAAAGTACACTAGTACGCTCGCCACACATCAGCTACCAGTGAGGAGAACAGAGTGATGAAGCCAGTTCATAGAGATTATTAGGAGGCCAGGGAGAAATTTGGCCAGGACACAAGGGTAACACCCCTACTCTTTTTAAGAAATGCCCTGGGATTTTTAATGACCACAGAGAGTCAGGTCCTCGGTTTTATGTCTCATAAAACGGGCAGAGCGGTGGCTCTGTGGCTCAGGATCTGCGCCTGTGGCTGGAAGGCTGCTGGTTCATATCCCAAGGCTGGCAGAAGAATCCTACTCCGTTGGGCCCCTGGGCAAGGCCCTTCACCCCAACATCTCCAGGGGCGCTGTATAAATGGCTGACCCTGCGCTCTGACCCCCAGCTTCTCTCTCTGTCTGTGTGTCTCATGGAGAGCAAGCTGGGGTATGTGAAAAGACAAATTCCTAATGCAAGAAATTGTATATGGCCAATAAAGTGATCTTATCCTATCATCCGAAGGACGGTGCCTTTTTACAGGATAGTGTCCCCATCACTATACTGGGGGATTAGGACCCACACAGACCACAGGGTGAGCAACCTTAGTTTTTCCCAGGAGGTCTCCCATCCGGGTGCCAGCCAGGCTCACACCTGCTGAGCTTCAGTGGGCTTCCAGTTTTTTCAGTTGCAGGGTGATATAGCTGATGGCATTACTGTATAGAATTAATTACATTTAAAACTAAAACAATACAGCCTTGGGAAAACAAATTACAGTATTACAGTATGATATTTGTATCCCAGAGGGCTGAGTGAAACAAAAAAGATTTGAATAAATGTCAAGGTGTGATATGTGAGTTCTTATATTACAGCTAGATAGCTCCAGACATAAGCTATTACTGCAGTTTGAAAAGGATGCCACACGCATTGTTATAGGTTCATTTCATAATTTCTCAATGTTATTATTTTATTATTTTTCAAGCATGTTTTTGCGTTAAACATTGTATTATGTAATCTAAGATCGTTTTTACTTGAGGAGCACATGCAGAATCTTTCTCACAATGCTGTATTTAACCTCTACCTGTGAGTTATTGATTTTTTGATCATTGGAAACTTCACTAATGATCTTCACAGATATGACTCTCATAGATAGCAGTGTTTGAATGCTGTTTGTCAATATGGAAGTGCTCTAACAAAGGTATCTGATGCACAGGAGCTAACACATTAATCTGATAGATTACATTGTGTTTTTCTGAAGTATCTATACATTCCAATAATCAAAGACAATGAAGCTATGTTATTTTCTGTAGCTTTTTTCTCTCTTTACCATGTGTATAAAACGTTAAGAATGTTTTATATTATAATTTAAAAAATATATATATTTATTTTGTTGACATGCTATTACACATATATTGTAATAGCATGTTTGTTACTATTGTTTTTGCTATGGAATTGTGAAGGTTGGAAGAAACATGGTCCATTTAATATGTTATCACTTTTGTGAGATTCTTTCAAGGTTTATACCAGCATAAAGTTGATTTTTGCATTAACAATTTACGACCAGAAATGATTCAGATTTTATTTTTATATTAATCAGTTATGTGAATTCTGGATGAATTAATTGAAAGTGAAAAATATTTTAAGGAATATATATATATATATTATGCATGATAGAAACATACAGTAGCTGTACAAAGGTCCTAAAGCTGTTGCAGCTTTGGGTATAATCGTCTTCTCACAAGTCTTTAACCAGAAAGTGTCAATACATGACTTCGGTATGGAGGCTTTGTATTTGAAGGGCTGGCAGAGCTCTTGATAAGCTATAATAGGGTCTGTCTATATCTGTGACAAGCAGCGTGCTGTAGGGTGACAAATGTTAAAGCCACTGGTCTTCAGCAGGAAGGAAAGGACTATGGCACTGACCTTTCAAGAATTCAGTGAGCCCTGGGCTCAGCCATGGGAATTCAGACCAGAGATCAGCATTGACACTCTTTAATTGAAACATTAGAGATAAGACACCAGCCTGTGCAAGTCTTGTCACTTGGAAAGAATCTACAAACAGTGTTGTCGCACAGCAGAATGTTTATTCTGTGAAGTGGTGATCCAAAGTGGCCTGGATGAATTGATTCTTATAAGAAGCAAGACATTTTTGTGATTTTCCTTGGCTTAAATATAGGCTTTGCCTAAAGGGATTGGTTTAGGCAGTGTGGAAATATTAACAATGTTACAAGTTTTGTTTGCACCAGCAGGTAAACAGATTTGGAATCAGTATGTATGTTCTGATTGAAAGATCATCTAAAGAAGGTTTTACATGCTTAATCAAACTAATTACTTATATTAACCCAACATATACTCTGTGTTTTTATCAACTCTGAACAAAAATAAACACTTTTTGACACATCAGAGGCAAAATATATACTGGATATTGAATTGAGCATTAATTGAAAGCATAACGGTCAGTGTATTTTGCAATATTGAAAATGAATTCTTTAGTGAGAATATAACATAGTAAAAGCAGAATGTTTTAATACCAATGACACATATAAAGATGCAATGTTGGGATTGTATCTTTAGTACAAATACTTGTCCTTTTATTTTAAAATTACAATTAACGCTAGTATAAAAGCTCTACATACAGTACACTCTGAAATCTCTAATCTCTAAAATCTCTACATACAGTACACTGTCTAAAACATTCTATAAGCAACGGTACATATGCCATTGAGTTTTCTCAAGCTTTTAATTCTTCTATAGAACAGTTTTCCTACTTTTGTTCTGAGTAACAGAAAGTACAACTGAGCAGTGCAAACAAAGTAGGGGGGAAAAAAATCAAAAACTGCTGAACCGCACAAGCATAATAAATTGTGTAACTTTTTGCTGCTGAATACGTCTTGCCCATATGCTGCACTACAAAGCCACGTGAATAAGGCATTTACAAAATCAGGCCCACCACATTAAACAGAAAAACAATCTTTATTCATGGTGACTTATCAGTCTCAATTAATCAACTTTAACAATAGAAATTCTGATGTGTTCAAGCAACCTGAAAGCTATAGGTCATCACCAGGGCATCATTGTTGTCTCTTTGTGTCTCCTTTTAAACGTGTTGCTTGTGGAGTTATTTTTATGATCCCGTATATGTTTTGACATCGAAACTTCTTTTACAAAGGTTTACTCTTAGAAAGCACATTCGAAAGCACAAAGCGTGTCAGAGCTCTCTAACATTAAGCACTAAACAGCTTCCCAGTCTTGCAGGACTGTTTCGTCTGTGCTGCTATGTGAATAGCATTGTGCACACCATTCCAATGGTATTGAAAAGGGGTGACCATTGGCTTGATTCGGTTACACGGTTTAGTTAAGTGCCTCCTCCCACTGCCTTGGGGTCTGTAAAAGGTCTGTGACCTGTTTAGAATTGCCCAGGGAAATGTCATGTTGCCCCTCCCAATGGGAGTATCTGCATTCATTTGATCGGAATAAAAAATGATTGGGGATGGTTAGATCACTGCTTTTGAATTGCAATTTATACCACTTTACAAAAATGCACATTGTTGGAAAAGAAAACATGGAAATGTTTCTTTCCAAATTGCATTACCTGTGAAATGCTATTAGTCTTTTTAAGACAATTCTTCTCTTGTTTGTTTTTCTAAATATAATAATATGTTACATTTAGTCTTATTTTTAAGTATTTCGTGCAGAACATGATTTTTTGAATAGTATTTTATTTACTTGTTTACCTTATTATCTGAATGTGCTAATTTTGGGGCAGTGGATTTTTTATTTTTAATTGGTATTTCCAGCATGTGTTTATTAATACATATACAGATGCATTAAAGGCTCTTTATGTTTGCCTAAGAATGCTCTCTAAATGTAGAACTACTCATTTGTTTTGCTTCATACCTGTCTTTTGTGGAGTCTAGTAAGAATGTCTTTTATTTCCAGAATCCCAAATACTGTCTGAAGATGAGGAAGAAGAGGAGATAAGTTCTGCTCTTCCTCTTCCGTGTCCACCATCCAGTTGCAGACAGTCTCCGTCTTCTCCAAATGTTCCGTAGAAGAGTGCACCAGAGTAAAGAGATATTGCAAGAGAAAGTATTAAACGAGCTCAAAGAGTCCCATGATATAGGTGTCTTTCTTTGCCTCCCTTCATGTACCGGCAAACCCAGTACCGTCAAAACTTTGAAATACCATGAGATAGAATGTATTCCAAATGGCTAGAAAGAATCTAGTATTCTGCTGCAAACATGGCTATGACTATCTCTTAATATTTCAGCTGTAATTCACTTATAGAAATACTGTAAGACAAGTACTTCGAATCTTTTCTGATTCATTGTATTATTGTTTTGATTATTATCATTGTATTATATTTCTGAATGCATCTGCCACGCAGTAATTGAGAGAACGTTTAATTAAGTTAGCTACTTGACATTGTTAAGTCATATTTTGAGTTAACAATTCCATTGATACTGTTTTTCTTGTATTTTAATCTGTTTTTAGATCAGATATCACATAAACAGAAGGCAGTTTGTTCTTGAGTGTAAAGTTCTTGGAACAAGAGCTGTGGAATACACTGGCTTACTGCAGTGTTTGACATTTGCACTGGAGAATGTATTTAGCTTCCCGAATGCTCTATACAGCACAAAAGGCTGGAATGTAAGGCTTTTGGGATACAATCAATGGAAATGTGGGTACACTCACAATCACTTTTTAGCTCTGATTCATGTGGGCTTTTGTATTTACGTCAGTGAAATACAGAGGTAGCAAAACATGCATGGCAGCTACAAAGGAGCGAAAAATCAGCTCTGGTTTCGGTTCGGGAGCTGTAAGATATTTGCCAGCTCTAAGGAAAAAACTGAATCCACTGAATGATTTTCCTCCTTCAAAGTAAAGGCTTCTCCTCTGAAGCCTTTACTTTCTTTTGTTTTTATGGTTCTGTCTGTTAGGTGGATTTTGACTATGATATACATTGTGCAAATAAGGAAAAAGGCTCTTAACTCTAGTTAACAACTGAATTAACAGTCTGAAACTCCAGTATCTCAATCACGATGTCTATTGAATTAACAAAAAGCTTTGTGTGTCTCAGACCCCGTGACCTTCAACTACAAGCTTATAATCAATTACCAATTCCATCTTTGACATGTCTCATTTCATACTGAACAACATTTTCCCAAGTTTAGAAATGAGCTTAGAATATCCAAGGTCCCCATATTTTCTTTAACCGATGAGGCCTGACCAGGTACATACAGCCTTTTCCATTCAAGCGCAGTTTTGAATAAACTACTTGCATGGAGAATGGTGTAGTTGGAAAGAGACTGTTGTCATAGAAACTTCCTTCAGGTGTCAGATATATATCATTACCTTAACACTCTTTGGAAAGTTTACACTAAAGCAGTTTGCTACTTCTTTCACTTTTTTTCTCCATTGGTTTGTAAAACAACAAAAAGGCGATTTTTAAACTCTGGAAATTAATTGGATTCATTAGTTGTTAGATAAATGGCAATTGCTGGTAAGTTGGATTCCAGCAGAGTTTCACCATAGAGGGTTAATCGGAGTCAGTGCTGGAAACTTTCCCAGAACTGGCTTCCAGCCATTACAACCAATCACCCAAACTTATAGCTAGATTATGCTGATCGGTCTCTATTCAAGATGTCCCTATGGTGTTTGTATTTACTTCAAAAACAACTGCACAACTGTTAACAGTCTCTATGAGACTCCTATAATAATAAAACTGTCAAGTGCCAGTCTTAAATATCACCCTGTAATAACTTTGCATTAAAGGGCAAACACGAATAGGTAAAACAGGATGTGCCATTTCAGCTTTTATTAATTAATTTTTACATTTTATTCTTTACTAAAACTACTGTTAGGGTAAAGAAACCGTTTCAGGGTATTTTATGGGTTTTTTTTTCTGTCATGCTAATTGAAATTCTAAGGAAACGATCCTGTTCCTTTTTAATTAATGAACGGAATACTTTTGCGTCGCTTAAATGAATCGTACTTCCCAAATGCAGAAGTCTAGTTCATGCCTTAAAAATGTACTAAATTCATTCTAAACACAGAGGAATCCGATCTGTTAAAACAGAGCTCGGATTTCGCAGGGATAAATACGCGCACAGTTCTTTGACTTTTTTTTACGCGAACGCGAATTCGCTTATCACCTTATTTTGCTTAATGAAAATGCTTTTATAGCTCAACTCCCAGCTGCATTTGTCTTGCAAAAAAGTGCCTGCTGAGAAATGCATATAATAGGGAAACGGGTCAGCTGGACAGCAGTGTAATTAATGCCAGAAAAAGCCAAGAGCCGGTTTCATAGATTGTCTATTGAGGATATTAAAACGAGACCTGGTGAAAAATGACGCATGCTTTTACACTTCAGAAAGCTGGCAACTGGCAAAGCCCTTTTTAACTTCGTCCTGCTGAACAAAAGAGGTCGACACATCGAGCTAAGTTGTAACGAGTTCTGTGTCTCCAGCACATTACGTGCATCATGGAAACATATTGTATCGAAATAGTTTGGAGGAGAATACTGGGGATGAAAGAGAATGGGAGCTTTGATCAGCTCACTGGGGTCCTGGGTGCGCACAGACTGACTGCAAGGCGTTATTCAGTTCCTGCTAGACACACTTACAAGACCGCTGAAAGAAATTTGCATATTAGTAATTTATCACATTTTAGTTCGACTTTTTTTTCTGCAAGGTAAAAAAGTGCCCTGAATAAAACCAGATCAATCATCAAAATAGAGAAAGCTATACAATTCACCCAAGTTTCCCCTCTTCTCGGGAAAAAGGGAAGGCACGTTTATCAAAACGTTCTTGCAAGTTAGAAAACGCACCAAAATTGTGGAACAAATCTAATTCCACCATCCTACTGCGCTTTTGAAGAGGTATACATAAAAGGAAGGTTTGAAATAAATCAGTAGGCTACACCAAGCCCTTCCAATACATTTTATTCAGGCAGACATTGTAAGAACAACTGCTTTTAAAATATCAGCTCTGTAAGATTTAGTCGGGCTATTTATTGTTTACATTAAGACGGTTTCGCGATATTTGTATGCTTCTAAGCACATTCCCTTAAATATGCCTTTGGATTAGTCTTTGGATTTAATCAATTGTCAAAAGGCTAAGGAACATCAATTATCACAAGTGAGTAAAATGGCTAGGGCATTCAACCATCTAAAAACGTGAAATAATTCATTTTGTTAAAAATCGTTATATTCTGAGTGCGCAACTACATCCAAACCACAACCATACCTCTTCAGTGAGTCGTTTCCCAGCCTTTTGCGTATATATGAAGTATTAGTAGGGACAGGGACAGTGTGTTCAAATGCATGCTTTAAAGCACCAATATTTATTTATAGTGAACGCAGAGGCCAAGCAGAATCACGAGAGTTAACAGTGGAGTGAGTGTTCCTGTGGAATAAAAAGAACACATCCCAGGCTTAAGAAATGAGGCAGTAAATAAAGAACTGTAATATTTCATAGGGGGCACCGAAAATCTGGATACAATGCTCCTCATATTAAACGCGATCTTCTTTCTCTTTGGTGTCAAACAAAAGTCATAGCAAGACGTCTTTATGGCTAATTCAGTCAAAGGCACATCCCTGATTCCCCTGCAGAAAGGTCAGTGTCGTTGTGTTTGGTCCACCAAGGGGGTGTTTTCACAGCAAAGACTGAGCCAGCTGTCTCTGTCATACTCTCACTATTGGGAGAGAACACACTGGGCATGGCTGTTAGAACCATTCTACACCTGCAAAATATACTGATTTCCAACACTTTTCAACTTTTTTGTTTAAGGAATTCAAGCAAAACAAAGGGACCATTGGCAAAAAAAAAAAAAAGCACTGAAAACTATGGGGTAGTTGGGTATGTACCAGCCGAGAAACATAGCCCGCCCTTGTGGGGCCCACATCAAAGGATTTTCATGTTCAAAACTTTGGTAAAACGGTCAAATAATTGCAATAAGTGTAATAGTTTTGTCCTAAACTGAAGGGCCTCTTGTTCCGGCCTTAATTTTGAATTATGCGCGCACGGAGAAAACAAATAATAGTACCCCACCACTTCATGTGGCCTATAAGTACCCTCTTACTGTCGTTTTTAAACAGAATAAATCAGTGCTATCAGGAAACTCCATCGCTAGGATTTTCCCTTCTTTAGACGTAGTTTTTTTTTAAGACCAGTTTAAAATACTTATTTTCTTTCATAAACATGCATTTTACGTTTAAACGCGTGTTTTACTGGTGTAAAATCATGTAAGTGGAATGTTTTCTGATCAACATGCTAATGTGCAGACTGGTGTTTTATATACAGTAAATTGATATTACTTACTGTCGTAGATTATGTCGTCTTTCACTTCTTGTGAAGACATTTAGGTTAAATGTACGCAATTATCTAGAATATATTGAAATACTAAGAAAACAATATCTACCTGCGGAAGTTTTTTTTTTACTGTAAATTCTCTAGGTAGTTAAAATGCGAGATCTCACATCCATGCTAGCCTTCCGATAAGTTAGCTAAAAAACAGTTATTACTTGTAGCTATATTTTCTTTAAAAAAACAAACACTGAAGGCATTTTGAAGAACAAAAATATTAGTCATTAATATTATTTTGCGTAATCAACTCGTCAGCATTTCTGACTTTCTGTCATGCGCTATTTACAGTGGGTTTGTGTGTTTTTGACAAAGGAATTTTATAAAATAATTTGACTCTCTATGCTGAATATATGAAGTTTTATTTTACTAAAGCCTAACAAACAATGTCAGCTCTATGTGTCCATGTTTAAACCATATTTACAATTTTCTAATTTAGTTTAATTCAGTGCTTTACTTGTTCTGTGCTTTGCGCATTTCTGGTTTAAAAACGGCAGCATGAAATCGTTTAAAGTGTACGTAGCAGTTTGTTTTTACTCAGGAGTTATGTTTGGGTGTTACTAATCAAGGCCGAAAAAGGTCTGACTTCACAATAAAAGGGTTAATTTTTATTTCGGTACTCTGTGCCAAGACTCTGTGGAAAGGGGCCACTCGTGGGAAACCACCAACTGCATTTTGGCTTTGTAAATATTTGAAACAAGAAAAAAAAAGGACTGGGGAGTACCAAAAAGGTGGTTTCTGAATATCTTGTTTAT